TAAGTTACAAACTACGAGGATACGTGCTTTTATTCTTTCATGGAAGCCTCTAAGTACAGAGACACACTTATCAGGATATACAAGCTACTTCAGAACCTTCCTTCTATTCACAGTATCAAAATCCTTTGTTAGATCAACAAACACTTCATACAGGTTCATCTTTTGACCAATGCATTTATATTGTTATTGCCTTACAGAAAAGATTATGTATGTCATCCCTCTGTCATGTCTGAAACCACTTGCCAAAAACAGAGAGAAGGTACATCTCGCAGTAATTCCATAAGTAATCTCTGCATAGGTAATGTTAGCAATCGCCCTTCCCTTTATAGAGGACATCAATCAGTGCATCTTTACAATTGTCTAATGCACTCTCTTCTGTCCAAACATTTTGTACGAAGTTAGAAGTTGCACATTTCAAGGTTTCAGTATAGATACCATCCATACCAAGCGAATTAGCGCCATTCATATTTTAATACCATTTTTGACTTTCTCAAAGGAAGGAGTTTCTGCCATATGTTTTTGGTTGGATTGCTGGGAATCGATTTAAAAAAAAACTCATCATTAACTTGAGAAGTCCTCTTTCCAAGTTCGAAAAAGTATTCTCGTCGCCTAACAAGTATATCGTTTGGAGTTCTGTGTAACTATTTGCCATCATAACGAGAGGAAGACGACCCGTAACAAGTTATATAGAAGTTTGGCATTGTTGGAATCAGATGTAAACTAAATCTCCTTTGTTTAATCCAAACTTGTATATTACGGAGTCTACGCTATATTTTATACTTAACCTCCCTTTTTTACAATAATGTTCACTCTGTATAAAGCCCAAGAGCCACTCAAGGTAGAGGGTTATAGAGTAAGAAATAAGGGACACAGTTAATGAGGATCTGTGAGGAAGATAACCCTAAACTTGAGGAGATTAAGATTTTAGTTGTCAGTGAAGCTTCTTTTTGCGAATCGGTTCCGCAAAGTAACGGTTCGTGGGAAGAAAGCCGTTCGAGTGGAACTTACATATCACCAATGGAATATGAAGTGAATGAGGGTTCTTCGCTACAATGTGCATGGCATGGCGGCTCTTAGCTGTGAAGGTTTGATATTGGCGGAACTAAGGAACCAAGGAATGTAGTTCGTCTGAACAATTTCCATGGAAATAGCAAGAGGCTTGCAACGTTTCGACTGTGGGAAAGGGATTCTTAGGTGGAAAATAATTCATCATCCACAATGCTGCGTAGACACTTTTGGGCTAGAAAGTGAAGAATTGGTAACTTCTTTCCATATATGGTAGCAGTACTCTATTTTCGACCTGATCTGGCTTTTGTAACGGTAGATTTTGTTTAGCATCATATCAACCTCTATGGATTAATTCTACTGAAATCTAAATTTTTTAAACGCAATAGTATGTCTTTAATTACAGATAAAATGTATTGTTGATAATTTAAAAAATAAAATACAACATCATTGCAATTCTACTTAAAAAATAGAATTCTGGTCAACAGCTTTATATATGTGAAACAGGTAATTTTACTATAAATGTGTATTGCAGGTAATTTTACTATAAATATGTACTGCAGGTAATTTTACTATAAGTATGTATTGCAGGTAATTTTACTATAAATATGTATTGTTGGTAATTTTTCAATATAAAAATGTATGTTATTTTTACTACAAAAATGTATTTCATACATTTATCATTGTTTTTTTTGTTTTGTTTTGTTTAGCGGTTCCCTATTTGTCCATAGCTGTGACCCCTAACAGGTGCTACAATCCTGGGTCAGGGTGGGCCTGGGAACAACAGCAATTAAGATGTGGTTTCATGCTCCTCAAAACCTCCAATCTCCCGATCAGAGGCCTTGCTGCCGGACGTAGTTTATCGTCATACCCAGAACTATGTAACGGTAGAAGATAGCAGGAGGAGTCAATTATTTACTGGAGCGGTACATGGGACCGACCATTTTCCCAGCATCTTTAGCGACAGACCGTATGTACGAGTTCTATTTGAGGTCTAGGTTTAGCATAAGTTCCAATGGGCAATGTGCTACTCTGAGAGAACACCAGAGTCCGCTCGATGATGAATAGATAGAAACAGAGTGAAATAATTATATGCATACCAAAAAGCTGCCATTCTAGTTAAGAGAAAGAAAAGCCGTTTATTTTTAATATTTTTATTTCGCATCTATGCTGAAGCAAAGAGACACTTCAACGGACATGACGTTTTTCTTTATCACTTTTCTTTTCTTTATGATTTCTATTTACTCCTAATAGGCACTCAAAGTATAGGGCTTCTCTACACTTCGATCCATGCCCTAAGGCTGGTTTGTGCTGCACTATGATTTCAGGTTACCCGAATAGCCACCTCTTGAGGAGATTATAAGCAGTACATTTTGAACAACCATAAAAAATAATTACTGCCAATGTACAACTGAAGATTATGAAGTTGAATGATCTCTGTCCGAGTTGCTAGTGGCAAAATAATTTTTTTTTTTACCCATTGTAAACACTTTTGTTGCAATAGAAAAATATAACTTATTTCACTATAATTTCAAGAAATAGATTATTATAATATTTTCTGGATTTTTCCTAAAACTAATCGTTGGAAAGAGGAGAAAAGACACTATTCAATGAGAAAATGAAAGAAAGAAAAAAGAAAGAAAGAAATAAGGGAAGATAGGAATGTTAAACAGCTGATCAAAAAGAAATGGAAACAGTTGTTAATTTCAAATATTTTTATTTGTACCCACTTCTTAAAATAACAACCAGAATTCATATTTATGATTCTTATGGCAATATTTTGTTTAAGTTGATAAGCTCAAATACTTAACGAGTCGACAAAGGAATTTCTACGGATATTTTATTGTCAAATTAACTTAAGAATTACGATTTATCAGAAAATTCAAATAGGAAAACCGAGAAATTTTCACGGGTTCAAACTAGTTAAGATTATTCTCAATTAAAACGTAATTGAGAAGAGATTAAATTTTATAATATTACATATGATATTAAAGTAAAAAAATACATAAAAATAAATAGATATTGCATTTCTATAAGAGGAGATGACATTAAATAAGTGGATGTGTGAGTGGTGTAGTGGATAGCAGCTTGGAGAGCTGAGTTCAAATCTCAGTCGAGTTCGTTATATTCACTTGCGCACAAATACATTTGTAAAGGTATGAATCCATAACCTTTTCCCATCTATGGGTTAAATAGTGGAACTTGTATCTGGAAAAATCATTGTTATTCACTCAAAGTTGTTAATGCAATATTCAATCTCCCCAACAAAAAAATAACTTATTACAATCCAAAATATGTTTCAGTTTTAAATAACCCACAAAAAGTTGATAAACTGTAAAAAACAAACCAATCAATATATTAAAGAAAATAATAAAGATATTGTATTCATGTAAGAGGAAACACTAACAAGGTCTCGGCTTCAACAAGTTTAAAAAATGAGACTGTCCAGAAAATTTATTTTGGAATTCATTCTTAGCTCGAACCAAGAACTTTTTGTTTCAATGAATAAATATATATATATATATATATATATATATATATATATATATTTTGGTAAATATATGTGTGTGTGTGTGTGTGTGTGTGTGTTGTGTGTTTTGAGTTGATTGAATAAATTACAAACATTATATCTTTGTTATTTTGATTTCAATAAATCCTTTCATAAATACGAATATTTTTGTTTATATTACAATTAAATATGGGCAAGAAATGCAAAAAAGTTAAATTTTTATATTTATATCTCTTTATGAGATCATCATCATTAAATTTTTTAGAATCCAATATTTTTGGGGGAAACCTTCGAGGATCAAAGTTGGAAATTTGTTTTTTAGGATAGCTGTGTTATCAATTTATATATTTTTCTATAGTTTATATTGATGAATTAATAAGAATTTAAAGTGTAAGTGTCATTTGTTTTTGGAAACAAAATAATATATGATAAACAAATACCCTATCCATTAAAATAAATTAAATATATAGATTATATAAAAATCTTCATTTTAAAAATTGAATGGACAAAAAATGATGATTTCAGAAAGACATCAAAAGTACTTAGGAAATAAAAGTGATTGCCATTATTGGCTTATTTAATTTATACGGAAAAATATTCGTGAATATGAGGGGATTATGATCAAAATAAGCAGACATAATGTTTGTAATTTATTCAATCAGACATGCCTAAAAGAGAATTTGCTGCCTAAATTTAAATATATAATATATATATATATATATATATATATATATATATATGAAATAATATATAGTTTTAAGGTGTGCTATATTTATGAGATAAAGTGCTCAATATCTGAGATAGAGCTTATGTAAATATAAATATAAAAGTGAACATTGAAGTGACAGGTTGTTGTTTCATGTTATTCGCAATCGTCAGCCTGACGATTGGGCCAAGCATGAAACAGCCTGTCGCTTTCTGAGTGTTGAAAAAAATGTTCAATTTTATATATATATATATATATATATATATATATATATATATATATATATATATCAACTTGTGCCAAGGATGAGGCGTTCCTTCCATTTTAAACAAGAACGGCAATATAACACCCATTTTTTTCTTTGTTTTGGATCGCAACCGACTCTCTTGCGTCTTAACTTCGCCATCTGTATCCATCACCCATCTTTCACCATGACCACAATATTACAATTTGATGTAACAACCTTACTTCATCCCGTCCACCTCAGCTACTATTATTATTATTATTATTATTATTATTATTATTATCTTTACGAATCCGCACCCCCTCGTTTCCCAATATCATACCTTCATCATTTTCCTTTCATCATTACCATCCATATCCGCCCTGCCCTACCCCAGTCTCTGGTTATTGTGGGTGCGGTGATCAATTGTGCAACTCGTCCCCGTCCCTCCCAGCTACCACTGACTGTGTACGCTCGTTCATATCTTAGCTCCGGCATTTTACTGGCAGACGTGCGACAATTCACAGCTTTGCGGCTAGCACGATGAGACAATGAGGATGAAGACAACACTACTGTCTTTTCCTTTTTTTCTGGTAGGTCAAGTCTTTTGTCATTTTAACCTTTTAAGTTTATTTTCTTCTTTTTTTTTTTATACCGCCAATCTCTCAAATGCATCTTTTTTTTTTTAGTATCCCTATCAATTTATAATTATCCAAAACAGTATTGAATTCTCTGTATGATAATGTTTTAACCGTATATAATCATGAGGTTGTTTTCACTTTGACTTGTCCACGAAATTATCTCAGTTTCAATTGTTTCAACTGGTATTTTTCTTCTTTTTGCATAAGGAACGTAAGTGTTTTTTAAGCGTAGCTGAGATTTCTTATTTCTAAAACAAATTAAATATTTAATATTAAATATTAGGCTATTCGGAAATTTGTATTACACTTTAGGTGCCTGAACAAATAAAACAAAATTTGAATTATAACATAAAGACAAAAGCGAACTGTGGAAGATGAAGTTTAAATCAAAAGGAAAAAAAGATTGTGTTGAGCCAATCTTCCAAACTATCTGCCTAAAGAACAATTTATCCATCGGAGACCTGTCTTATATATGGAAGCGAACAGTAAACACGGGAAGAGTTAGACAATTCCGAAATGTTTTAATCACAAAGCACACTACGGGTTTCCATAATTATAATTAATGTAATTATTCATGAGAAAATTCTCAATGATCTTTCACGAGAGCAAAATAATCTTTAGTTTAAATTTGATGTACAAATTCTGTTCTATAATTTATTGTTGAACTAAATTAGTGAAATTTGTCACGAAGTGGTTGTTACATCTGTAAATATAAACAAACTAAATGAAATAGTTTATTAAATCTCTGGCGAGAACCATTAATTTTGAGAAATATTTAAATAAGATAATTTACATTGAAAACTTTTCTGCTATTTAAAATAGCATCATGATTATTAAAAAGCTATTTTTATCAGGCTTAAAACAACAGTACAAAGTTATCACTATGATATATATAATCTGTATTCAGTATATATATATATATATATATATATATATATATATATATATATATATATATAGGAGAGAGATACACAAGTTAAATATAATATATATATATATATATATATATATATATATATTTATTTTTGTGTATCTTTTTTTTTTTATACATACATATATATATATATATATATATATATATATATATATATATATATATATATGCATCATGTGTGTATACGTTTTTAAATTGTCAATCAAATCTGTAGGCTGGTAGACGTAATTTACACTCATTTTATTTTTCTATCCGAAATGTAAACAATAAAATTTCAAATAAACACACACACACACACATACACATATATAGATGGGTTTGCCTATCTTCTAAACAATATTCAAAACATCTGGACACCATCTACTCTGTTAAAACAAAATACTACACACATACAACACATATATGGCATATAAATATGTATGATATATATATATATATATATATATATATATATATAAATATATATATATATATATATATATATATATATATATATATATATATTTACACGTGCCATGTCTTTTCTTAATATGTCCGACCTTCTTCAGGTGATATACCTTCAAATTCCGAACCAAACGCTTTATTTACCCCACAGGGCTAGATTTTTTTTTTAGTTCTACGTGCCATGAATATCCCAGTTTCAGTTAAATCCCTTTTATTAACTCAACTCCCCAAGTTTTTGTTCCCCTCGTGAATATGACAATAAAGACAAGGACAGCAGACCGAACAATGTAAATTTGGGATTGTAATAATAAATCATTTTTGGTGGGAGGAGTAAATATTGTATTAACAATTTGGGGTGAATAACAATGGTTTTTCCAGATACAAGTCCCACTATTTAACCCATAGATGGGAGGATGTTATTGATTCATATCTTTTCCAAATGTATTTGCGTAAGTGAATATAATGAACCCAACTTGAATTCGAACCCGGCTCTCAGATTTGTCATTCTGAGACGCTATCCATTACACTGCCGCACATCCACTTCTTTGATTTAATGGCATCTCCTCCTATAGAAATGTAATATCTTTATTATTTTTTATGTATGTTTTTACTGTAATATCTTTTACAAGATTATAATAGCTTAATCTCTTCTCATGTTTTAAATGGGAATATTTTGAACTTGTTTTAACCAGTGAAAATTTCATGTTTTTTCTATTTGAATATTCTGATGAATCTTAATTCTTAAGTTAATGATTGATTAAGCTCATGAATGGTTTTACGATAATAAAATAAGAATATAAGACGAAGACTTTTATACGCAAGATTAATGTTTATTCATTCCGGTCTTCTTCAATTAATACAGTGTGTGGTTTTTGTTGATCTTCTTTTGGCGAGAATGTAAGAGTCCCTGGATCTTCAATCTCGGATTTGGTGTTTATATAACTCCAACATATGCATATTCTAAGCTCAGTCGAGTTGACCTCTTGTTTATATGAACAAGTATTTACATATAGTCAAACATCCTTTGAGTATATTTGATTTGCAACTGCTGACTACGAGAGGCAACCTTCCAGATGTAAGAGGATAGCAAGTGATGTAGAATGATTGAAAGACAATCAAAGATTTAGAAACAGTTTTAAAAAATTCATATGCCAAAAATAAATAGGATTTCAAAATTATTATGGATTACTTGAAATTGCATGCATGGGTCCCAGTATAAATAGTTATAAATAATTATTAACTGATTTTATCATTGTGATATTTTTGCATTATATAAAGTATTAAGAATATAATAACTAGGGTCTGCAAATTGGAAAAGAGTTATCAATGATAATTTTCTAACTTTCGAATCCGTGGTTATCTCCATTTTAACTCTCTCTTTTTTTTTTTTATTTTTAAATGTTTTTTTTATCACATAAAATTTTCATTTGAAAATTTGTCTAGAGAAAAAATTTTGGAAATCATGTATCTTTTGAAATTAAAAATGATTGATTTGTATTTTACAGTTAACCTTGTTTTCAAGATGAGAGAGCAAATTGAAAATAATGCAGTTCTATGTTTGCAATTTGAGGTTATGAAAATCATGTCTTTGGCAATTTTCATTTAGAAGAGAACTTTATTTGATTGTCATATTTGGTCTTTTATTAACAAACAATTATTCCACGTTCATTCTATTGAGACATACTAATTTATTTTACATTTTTTTTGAATTGAAATTAAAACATCATCTTCTTTTTTAAACGTTTAATGCACCTCACAGTTGTTTTAAAAATTTTCTATCAGACAATGCTTATGATATTTTATTCTGAGACAATTACATGGATTGAAAAATTTATTATTGTCTTGAAAAAGTATGTGGAAAAAAAATGTAATCTCAAATGTTGGTGAGACTAAGAAATTTTTCATTTTTGTTCTAAAAGAATTGAAAATATCTTAAATATTATTTAACAAGAAATGCAGTCAAATCTCATATATAGCCCTTTTTTTTTTTTTAATTTAATATACAAATATAAATGTAGAATTTATTTGATAATGTTCAAAATATATATACTCAGAGTTTTTTTTTTATTTGTAGTTTTTACATATTTTAATTCTTTTTAAACAATATGTAATAAGAAAAATTTACTAAGAACTTCAAAGAACAGGAAATATGTTTTTAATATGATTGCTTGTGATAATAAAATAAAACATTTCATAATAGAATCAAAATTTTTTTTAATATAAAGCTGAAAAAAATTTTCAAAACGGCAATTTTATCAACGATGAAGAAGAGCCTGAAAAAACAGAGATAATTCTGCAGAAGGATGCTATAGAATATCATGGACATGAGCGGGAAGCTAATGATGAGGTCTAGAGAAGTTGCAAATAAGGAGGAGGAAAATGTTTAACAAGGAATTCAGAAAGAATATTGGGACACATAATGAGGAAGGAGGGAATTGAGAATCGTAAATCTCACAGGTTGAATACAAAAAGAGATGAAAGAAAAATAATCACATGATATACCTGGCAGGCTTAGCAAATTGGATGACAGAACGTGGTCTGGGGTAAGGTTTTTAAATGCTCATTTTTATTGTATTCAGCTGCAAAATATGGAAAGTTTGGTCTCAAATGTATGATCGTCTACTGTTTGAAATAAAAAAAACTATACTTAATTCCATTGCTATAATTAATCAGTGATATTCTGAAAAAACAATAGAAGAAACTCGATTAGTAATAGATAAAATGATTTTGTCCTACCGATTGCATTTCTTTTATAAATTATTATTAATTTTTATTCATTTGAAACATTTTTTATATTTTTTCAGAATAATTATTTGGAGGCCTTGAAACATCAAGTCTTAAAAGAATTTTTCTGAAAGGTATGATGCAAGCTGAAATTTACTACAATTGTTTGATTTTGACTAAAGCTGTGATAAAAATTAAATAAACTGATAAACTAAATGCATTATTTTCTGGTGAAGAATAAAATTTATATTCAAAAATAAATGATATGCTCATTTTTGTTATTATCACTATGTTTTCCCATGTATTGTCAAATTTAACAGTGAAAATGTTTGACAACAATAAAGATCAAATTTAGTCACCTAAATATAAATAAATAAAAGTCAAATCAATAATGTATAACAATTCAGTTTTTCCAGCCATTAACTAATTGTACTAAGTTTCATCCTTACTGATTATTTTATACAAATGAACTAAGATAAACTTTATCTTCATTTTTGTTAGATAGTTTACAATTTTATTAAGTAAATGTACTAATCAGTTAATATGAAAACGAAAACAGTATTTAAAACTATCTTAAAAATAGTTTGTGCTTTAAGATTTTTCTTAAGTAACCCTTCATAAATAAAAGAATACAGAAAATGAAAATGGAGATATTCTAGTGTAAAAATGTTTCACCATTTCAAAACATGATTTATTTTTTTTTCAGGTAACAATTTTGAGACTGGATTTTCTGCTCGTTTTCTCAAAAAAAGTCTAAGATTATTAGATCTGGATTAAAATATTTAATGGCTCCTTATATCCATCTTCTATTATATGAGGTAATATTATCATTTTAATTTTATTCCCAAAG